CACACCACACCCAGCTAATTTTTTTCTATTTTTTGTAGAGGCAGGGTCTCGCTCTTGCTCAGGCTGGTCTCACACTCCTGACCTCAGCCTCCCAGAACGCTAGGATTACAGGCCTGAGCCATCTTGCACAGCCTATCTTTGTATTTCTTAAACTAGGTATACGGTATGTAATACACCAAAGTAAAATAAGATAATTAAGCACCAGACTGTGAGTGCAGACTATCTGTAGACTTATTACAAATATGACCTCAAACAACTTACCCTCTCTGCCCCATTTTTCCATAGGGCTATGGTGAGAATCAAATGCACCAATATATGTAAAGTGCTTAGAACAGGGCCTGGCACTTAATAAGCACACCATAAATATCATCTACTTTAATCACGTAATTATTATTTTTGTAAGAAATGGCATCCCAGCTCAGACAACTCATTATAAATCCTGATGAAATTAAAATTTCAATTTACTTTACCAATGAGCTCAAACATTTATGAAGTTAGGCTTAATATCTTATTAAGCAGCCTCAGTGTTTACACTGTAACTACCCATTCACGAGTCAAATTTCTCCAACTCTGAGTCATTATTAGTTTCTCTCCTGACTCATCACATAGAAAGGTAGACAGTCTGGAACATAATGGGAATACCAAAAGGTATTTCTCAATCTACCTGGATTTAAAAAGTTTACTAAGTGGAACTTGTCCTATATAATGTTCAATAAATACACTAAATAATTATGACCTAAATTGTGTTCACTTAAAAGTGCTTTCTATGTATTAAATGCTCCTTTATCCTCCCTTTTACTAACCTGAGTTCAAACTGTGGAGTAGCTGTTAAAACACCATCTTGACATAAAAACAACGTATCACTTAAGTAAAATCTAAGATCCACGTTTTCTGACCACCAGCCAAAAATAAATTTACATTTTACTGATAGCCTGGTGTTCAAAGTTTTGCCAAGCAAACTATAGAGGGTCACAAACAATCTCTGAGCCTACAGATTTGATTAATTTCTGTTCAATTCCATACATTTACTGTTTTCCTAGATACAGAAGTTATTTAAGATAACCTTTAATAAAAAGTTATGGAAAAATCTAGGGAAATATGCTAAATAAGGCAAGGTAGGTTAATTCTTAAAAACTCCCCTTTTCCTAGATGCACACATACACATAAAAACACAAAAACATTTAAAATATTATTTTGTCACTTTCTATGTCACCTTGAGTCATTTAAGCTCTAAGCCTCCATTTTCTCCTGTGGTAATGGGGATAGAAAGAGTAACTGTAACTACCACATGGGATCGCTGTGAGCATTAAGTACATAAAGCATTTTAGTCAACCACCATGCAAACTGAAGTTTTAGATACTGTATATGTTAACTTTTATAATTAAACCAGAACTTCAGTGCCACCTCTGCCTATTGAAAGATATTTTCTATGGTAACCATCTCCACTAATCCATTCACGCAAACTTACCCAACAGCAATAACTTCACACGCATTCTGAGAATAGGTATACAACTGTCTAGGAAGCTTTCCTTAACTATTCCTCTTCTTTCAGTTAGGTACCCTGCTCAGGGACTAAGCTATACCTATCACTCTACTTATCGTATTTCCTTATATCATTTGAGAGCACCTTGTAGGCAAGGCCTCTGTCCTATTCATTTCTGCACCCCATACTGCAGGCCAAGCTCTTAACCCTCACATTAGAATCACATGGGGAGCTTATAAAAATATTAAAGCCTGGGATCTATCACAGACCCATTAAATCATAAAAGGGGGGAGGGGAGAAGAAGGCAAGAAGTCAGCATGGGGAAGCAGTTTTTAATATCCTCACATGGTATCAATATGCTACCAGAGTTAAGAACCACTGTATTCTGATACTTAAAATACTATACAGTTACATATACATGTACATATGTGAGAATATGTGTATAAATATACAGGTACAGAAAAATATATAAGACTCAGGACAAGACTCATCCTCAATAGCTTCTCCCAGCCCAATCATCTCTTCCCTTTAAACACATATTTCTAATAAATAATTAGTTATATGCTGCATTAAGATAGTTTTTAAACTGTTAACTCAGTATTTAAGTTTTTTCATGTAATTATGCCTTATCCTTCTTCCTAGATTACAGCCTTGCTCCTTGAGAATATATAATGCCTTATTCTTCTTGTTTTCTCCAGTGCTTAGGATAGTGCCTTGAACACAGACATATAATAAATATAATATTTGACCCGATAAACACATACGAAAATTATTGGCAGGAAGTATGTCATGACCAAATTATCCAATTCAGGCTAATTATTACCAAAAAATTAGAAAAAGTAAAAATTTTAGAAGTTTTTTTTTTTTTTTTAACCTCTTAGTAAACGAGAACAACTAAAGTTTATCTCATTAAAGAGCATCTGGATATTTGAACTTTACAGACATCACATGCAGCATCCACCCAGTTTCCTACCTCCCAAATCAGCCTGTTTCAGTTTTTGAGCTGCTTCCTTGCTAAAACTATCTTCTCATTGATTGTGGTATCGTTAGCTGTTGTCAGGTACCTTTATAACAATATTATATAGTGCTTTGTAACTAGTTAAATGAGTTAAAGTCACAATGAATGTATCACACAGATGTTTAATAAGTATTCTTTGAAGGATCTTAATGTTTATCAACCACTAAAATAGGCTCCCTCCATACAAATTACATGTTTATCTACTAATGTAAACTTGGTTGGGAATATCATCTGAAAATAAGAGAGTCTTATTCAACATTAGATAAAATACAAGTCTACTCCTGAATAGTGACAAATTGGTGATTTTCATTCTTTTACAGTATTTTCATACCTGAGAAGTTTGTAAAATGTAATATTACTTTTTAAAACAAGAGTGCTAAATTATATTACACAAAAAGTCCACAGCAACTGGCATTCTCATTGTTGAAACTACTAGGAGAAATGGCACACAACTCTAAAAAAGCAACAATCTAAAGATATGAAATGGTTTACCTTCAAAGTTTTGCACCATATGTTCCACCACCATTAAAAGAGTCTAAAAGACTTAAGTTGTTTTTAAAAAACTGAAAATATGGGAGGCACCCAAGAAGTATGTCTGTTAATTACATATTGTAATAAAACATTACCATGTTTTTTTGGGTCCTACAGCTTGAAAAAGAAAGCTGTAGGACCCTTTCTTTTACCACTAAAAGAAAGCCCAATTCCCTATTCAATAAAAAGGTTCAAATTCCACAGACAAAAAAAAAAAAAAAAAATGGTACCCTGGGTTGTTTATTTTTAAGAAAGATTAAATTTAGGAGTTGCCAACACCCAAACGAAAAACATTCCAGAGTATTAGACTCAATTGTAGTAGGGAGTCATCTACATTCTCAGCACTATGTTCCCTTACTCAAAGCAGGAGTGTTAACAAAGGATGTTTCTTAGGATCTCACAAGATACACCCTACTTATTTCGCAAACATTACCCTTGCTTAAAAAAAAAAAAAAAAAGTTTTCAAAAAATAATTTTAGCACAAGCAGCCAAAAACAGTGAAGTTTACTATCTGCCAAGATATTTCCCAAAATAAGACCCCTGTCAGATGAACAATGAGGAAAAGATTGAAAATGACAAATTCTTTTATTTGGACCATCAGCTACTTTTAAAAATAAAGTTGAGGAATGTAGCTTTTCCAAAGCCTTGTCTTCAATTTCCCCTTAATCTTCATATTTAAAAAAAAAAAAAAAAACTGGTAATTTGATTACCACTCTTATGAATTCCTTTTAAAGCAATTTAATGAATAACAGATCTTTTGTGCAAGTAGCAAACCGCAGAGGACAGTTTTTCTGGCTGATAAAAATCTCTCTGAAACACTCATATAAAAATACACCCTACAAAGACACACATTCATTTTCCAGGTATGGAAATCATATTAATACTAAAAATTTGGGCATATTTAATTCACACCCTATTTTACTGAAAATATTTTTACTTAAACTACAATTAAAGTTAGTAAATTCTTAATAGTTATTTATTAGGAGGCAAAATTGAGTAAATTAGAAGGCCAAGAGTAACCGAAAAAAAAAAATGAAAACCTAAAGAGCCAATGAGAAAAAGATTCTGCTTCTTTGGGTCAAACAGGGTAGCTGAACCAATTCCCCAAATCGTTGAGCTACTATTAATATTAACCAACACTTGTTTGGGATTGTTTTGTTTCTGGTAAAGGGAGGTGTGATTATACACTAAGTGAAAATTTTTACCATTCACTCTAATAGGAAGATGCTGCTGCCTGCAGCAATGTTTTCAGACTGCCCAAAAATACCAAAAAACAAACAAAAATCCTCAAAACCCTAACACAAATGTTTTCCAGATACAGTACTTAAATATGTAAGGAGGTCGTCCTAGCAAACAGAATTGTGGGTTGCTACAACATCCCTACTGTCCTAAATATCACTCAGGAAAAAAGCTGTGCGTTATTGGAGAGCACAATTTATAAACAGTCAATTCATATATGAATTAGTGCATACATTCATTTGGATATACTCATTTTGGGTTCGCTGCAAGATAAACCTGTCTTGGCTATTGCTAAGGCCACATTTTCTTACAGGTGCTATTAAACACTGTTAGGAAAAAAGAGATAAACAATCTGATAACTTGAGACCGGACACGTGGGAAACTAGAGTAGGTAGTCATCACCATTAATCAATTTTTCTAACTGATCAAGCATAAACAGACAAGTCTAGGTAGGCAAATCCTAGAGCCGCAAGTTGTCCTTCTAACACGGTAAAGGAGGATCCTGGGTCTGAGACCTTAGCCAGGAAGCCTGAGAAGCACGTGTCCCCTACTTTGGATTTCGGGAACTTCCCAGGAAGCATTTGTTCAGAGTAAAACTTCATCACCCTCTGCCTGCCAAACTCGGTGAAAGGATAAGAAGCACGAGCTAGAGTAGGAAAACTCCGGGCCCCGGAGACTCGGGGAACTCCCGGGAGGAAGACACAAGGAGGCGGCCCCCGCCCGGCTCACCTCCGCGGCGGGGATGTTGACCACGCCGGTGGAGCGCCGCTTCTCACGCAGCTTCCTCTTCTCGATCTGCCCCTTGCCTTTCCTGGCACTGGGGCCCGAGCTCTTGCCCTTCTCCGAGGCGCCGTCCCGCTCCTCCTCATCGCCCCGGGGCGGCGGTGCCCCTGAGGCGGCGGCGGGGGGCTCGTCCTCCGGCCGCCGCGGGACTGGGGCCGCGCGGGTCAGTGCGGCGGGGCCGACCGCGCAGTTCACGCCCCCGGGAGTGGGGGCGGCAGGTGCGGCCGCGCCGCCCGGGAGGTTGTTGTTGAGCTCGTTAGCCGCGGCGGCCGCCGAGGTGCCCAACGCGCCCGTGGGGGGCTTCCCAGAGGGGTCGCTGCCGCCCCCTCCCGGGGCAGCCGGGCCCGGGGGGTTCTGCTTGGCGCGCATCTTCTCGCGTTTCGCCTTCCACTCCTCCAGGAAGTCTGTGGTGCTGCCGCTGAGGCCGCTGCTGGTCCGGTAGCCACCGGTCGCCATATTCCCAGCGGGCCGGCCGGGTTCTCACCTCAGGCTGCCGTCCCCAACCCGACTCCGGCCGCTGCCGCCTCTTCCTCTCCGCGGCCCGGAGGATGCGAGGGAACGACCTCCGGGCGCGGGGCGGCCGCCGGTCCCCCAGCAGCCCGCAGGTCTGAGGGGAAAGACAAAAGGGGGCGGGTAGGGGAAGCGTAAGATCCTGGCCCGAGGGTCTGCCCCTGGGCCGCGCCCCTCGTAAGCCCCCCCGCCAGAGCGCGCCCACTCGTCCCTGCTGGCGGTAGCCGCCGAGTCCCCACCCTGCAAAGTTTCTCCGACGCACCTACACGGCGGGCCCGGACGATCGCCGCCCCTCGAGGGGAGGAGAGAGGGACTGACCCCACCCCCCGTCCCCACCAGGGTCTGCGCCTGCGGCAGTCAGGGTACCAGGGCCAGACCTCGCCACCTGTTGGCCCGTCGTATCACCCCCTCCTTGCTCTGGCCACCGCCGGCCGAGGTCCCCGCCACCGACACCTCTATTCCCGGCGTCAGGCGCAGAGCCCCTAGCCGGCTTGCACAGAAGGCGGGGACCCAGCTGTCCGGCCGAGCCGGGAGGGGACGGGTGCGCGGGCGGCCCAAGCAGCCCCTTACCTCGGAGGAATTTTGGGGGGACGAGGCGCGGGGCTGGGAGTGGGCGCCCAGGTGAGCCGAAGCTGCCGCGCGCAAGAAGCCGCGGCAAAGTAGCCGTCCGGGGCTCGCGGCAGTCCCGGGCTGGGAGGGAGAGAAGGGAGGGAGAGAAAAAGGGAGGGAGGGAGTTAGGGGCGGGAGGGGAGCCGAGCGGCGCCGAAGCCCAGGCGGAAAGGGCCGAGGCGGAGCGCTAGGGGCGCGGCGCGCGGTGGGGAGGGTCGTAGCCGCCGACGCCCCGCCCCTAGCGCTCAGGTGCGCGGCGCCGCGTCCAGCCCGGCCTGCGCCTACCGCCAGCCGCCCGCGGCCGGCGGGTTGGACCGCACATTCCTGGGCTTGCAGCCTCGCGGCGTCCGGCCTCGCGGCGCCTCCGACTCCGGGGCGGAAACAGCTCCACGCCCTTCTCCCCACTCCTCTTCTCCGCCTTTCTCCTCTCCCACCACTCTTCCTTTTAAGTACAAGATCGTATTATTCCAGGGAAAGTCTCGAATGCTGCTGGCTAAGGGGGAAAGAGCGATCAACTTGTGATGATTCAGGGCATAACTAGTCAGGATGAGAAAATACTCACGCGTCTCTTTTCCTTGTCTCGGTCCCCTTTTCAGATGTACTAGGGTGACTGCTAGGAGAATAGAAAGAACTGAAACAAGCTCGGCACCCTCCTATGGAAACCGTGGTGTCCTGGTGAAAAGGGTTGGCTAAAAGGAAGGGCTTTCATTGTCAGTGAAATATCAAGATTTTACTATTATGTTGGGCTTGCAGGAGGGAAAAAAACTCATTTTGACAATTTATCGTGTTGGCAATCCCAATTTTGCTTGGAGTTTTCCTCTTAACCCTGTGTCTACATCTTTTGACAGTTACTGAATTTAGTGGCAAAGCTCCCTACCAAAGTGCTAAAGCTGTATTGACGCTGATTTGAACGGAGCCGGGACAGTGATGTCTCTATTTTTTCATCCTTAACCTATTGAGAGGTGAATCTTATCCTCAGATGCAAGTCATCTAAGATTTGTGGATCAGGGCTGGGTGGGCTGCCACTGACAGCATCTGAGGAGACCGACCTTTCTATATCCAGGTAATGTCAGGGCACATCAATGTCATAGGCTACAAATGCCAGGTCTCCATTTTGTAAAAAAGTAGAAGAGCACTGAGTCACACTCTTACCTAACATAAATCTTTCTTCCTACTTAATATTCCTGTTTTGCCCAGGTGACACATGGTGGGTGGGCAGAAGAAAGTGATTCACCAAGCTCTGTATTTCTCAAAGGGAATTCACACAGTTCTGAACTTTAGTCTGGCTGTTGGGTGTTGGGGTGAACATATGGAAAACTAGGAGAGAGCTCTGGAAAAATCCTTGGAAATTTAAAGGCCTTCCTTGGGAATAGGTTTAAAGGCTGAGTGGCCGTTTACCTAGCTGATACCAACCCAGGTGCACCATCAGCAATTCTTCAATTAAAAATGCATTATTTTGTTTTCTGAGTTGCAAGGGGGGTGAGGGAGGATGGGGTATTAAATATATTCACATTAATATGCTTTGTAACTTATCGGAGGATTTTCTCTTGGAAGGGCTACAGGATATAGTGGAAAGAGGATATTGTCAGCCTGGATACAACATAAATAGCTGACAGATCTTGGACATGTTTAAATTCTCTGAAACTCAGCTTTCTTTACTACAAAATCAGCAATATCGGCATATATTTTAAGCTGTTTTAAGAATTGACACTGCATGTAAAGTGTGCTTGGTTCAAGGAAGGCACTCGGTAAACATAGTCCCTTCTAGTAATAGGATGTCAAGCACTTAGAGTTCTGGGTCTCTTAAGAAGTTGTAGGGGAAGGTGGGGAGGAAAGCAAAAAAGATGCGGTACTGAATATACAATATTGCCCTGAAAATGATAGACTTTAATGAACTAGGCACTAGGATAACACCTATACTAAATTTATCACTGCATCTCTTAGACCAGTTCTCTTAGGTTTGATAGACTCTTGAGTCAGGAATGTTGGCTACTACCGACTTGCGTGGCTGGGCAACTTGCTTAATTTTTGTGCCTCTGTTTACTTACTTATAAAATGGGAATAATAATACTTCCTACATTGTGAGAGTGTTGTGAAAATGCCTGCAGTCCTTAGATAAAAGGTAGTATGTAAGTACCAGAGTAGTTATTACTAGCCTATAAAGTGCCCTAGGAACCACAGATGAAAGAGATTATTGAGGTACAAAGCTCTGTGTTTCATTATTGTTATCGCTTATTATACCTTTTGTCTTTACCATTCTCAATATTCCCAAAGATAAATTTCACAGCCAGACTATTTCCAACATTGAACCAAGATACTTAGCTGAGTCAGTCCTAAATTGCAAGATGTTTACATATCATCAATCTTTATGTATAGTGTTCTGATGAAATCCTCCTCAAAGACTTGGAGCTTGATTTCTCAAGCTCAGCGCTATTGACATTTGGGGCTGGATAATTCTTTGTATAGAGGGTTGTCCTGTCCATTGTAGATCGTTTAGTGGCATCTTTGACTTCTACCTACTAGATACCAGGGGCAAATTCTTCCCAGGTTGAGAACCTCTGAGTTAGCATAAAATAAAATTTTTAGTGACCCACTTGTACTTAATAATAAAAGGAAATATTACAATGCTAATAAAACAAAAAGAGTGAAATTTATTCTAAATGTTGTCTTACTTCATGTTTTCTAGGCAGTGTATTAATATTTATGTATTACTATGATGTGAAATAGCCTGTTTTTATGTGTTGAAATAATTAATAGTATATTGGGAAGTAGCCATTTCACCTTCAATGCAAATATTTCTGGAGCATATGCAATTCATCCTCTAAAATCAAAATAATACATGTGCATAGTACAAAAAGTTAAACTTTAATTCTACAAGGATTATAACAAAAAACAGTAATCCCTTACTCATCTTCCCCACTCCCAAAACTCTTTTAACACTTTCTGCTGATACAGATCTTCATATTTATATTTTAATGTGCTTATCTGCTATTCTACTTGTTGATTTTTCCATTTTAGATATCTTAAAGAAGGGGATTTAGTTCTCTTACACTAACTACACATAGGCTTTACATATTCCTAAACTTCCTCTATATTTATATCATGATTTTTGTTAAATAAACATTGCAAGATGTTTGCATATCATCAATCTTCATGTTCACAAATATTGTACACAGCTGAGCCATGTGGTATACTATGATTGCATTTGGGGTTTTTTGTTTGCTTGTTTGTTTGTTTTTTGGAGACAGGGTCTTGCTCTGTCGCCTGTGCTAGAGTGCATTGGTGTCATCATAGCTCACTGTAGCTTCAAACTCCTGGGCTGAGCTCAAGAGATCCTCCTACCTCACCTCTGAAGTAACTGAGACTATGGGCACATGCTACCATGCCTGGCCGATTTTTCTATTTTTCGTAGAGACAGGGTCACTCTATGTTGCTCAGGCTAGTCTCGAACTCCTGGCCTCAAGCAATCCTCCTGCTTTGGCCTCCCAAAGTGCTGGGATTACAGGTGTGAGCCTCTGCACCCAGCTGTATGATTGCATTTCTGTTTTTTTTTTACAACTGTTTTTCCTTATTGCACAACTTCTTTTTTCCTGTAGTTAAAACTTGCCTCTTTTTATTATTGGCTTTTTAAAATATATAATAGTGACAAATTTACACCCTAATTTTCCTCCTCTCAATGGAGTAAATCACACTGTATAAGCCATCGGTTCCACTTCTCTCTGTCTCTCTCTCTTTTTTTTTTGAGACATCTCTTCTGGAGCCCTCTATCCCCTCCTTTAATCTGGATTGATTTCAAGGTCTGTTGCTTTGTGGTTATCCTGGGATTATGCTTCTGTAACATCTTGGAATCATTTTCTGTGCATCCTCCTTGTTTCCTAAATCCCATATTCTCTTCTCTCTTGTTTCTCCCCCTCATTTTAGCAGAGTACATCCACAGTGTGTTCTGGAGATAATATAGCTCATCTTGGAAACCTTGCATTTTGGAAAATGTTTTTAATTTACCTTCATACTTGATTAATAGTTTGATAGGACATAGAACTCTAGGATGGAAATTATTCTCCTTCATAATTTTGAAGGCATCACTATATTGCCTTCTAGTTTCCAGAGTGGCTGTTGAAAAGACCAATGGCATTCTGATTCCTTTGTATTTTCTCTTTGGAAGTTTTTGGATCTTCTTACCCAAATCTTCTGAAATATCTTAAAGATATGCTCTGATTTGGTCTTTTTTCACTATGATGTTAGGCACTTAGTGGACCCTTTTAATCTGCTATCTGCCTCAAGTTGGGAAAGTTCCCTGTCCTATTTCTTTGATAAGTCTTTCCTTCCATTTTCTCTGTTCTCTCTCTCTGGAACTCCTGTTAAGTAGTTGTTGGACTGCTAGGAGTTCTCTAATAAGTTTTTAATCTTTTCTCTCCTATTTTCTTTGGCAGGTTATTCTACTTTCAAGTGAAATTTCTTCCACTTTATGTGCCAACCTTTCTATTAAATTTTATGTTTCTGCCACTATTTTTTCTCAGATCTATTGCTTATTCTCTAAATATTGCTTTTCTACAGTATCTGTTATGTCACATATTCAGCATCTTTTCTCTCCCTAAGGAAACTTCTTTAACCTTTCTTCTGCTGATCCTGCACTGTGTCTCTTACC